AAGAGGAGGGAGAGGGAGGAGATGGAGGGAGGGAAAGATCTGAGGACCCAGCGGGCTTTGCACTCACCCGTGTTGTACACGTGCAGTTCGTCCACTATCCCCTCGTTGCCGCCGCCAAACACCACGATGAGCTCCTTGATGGCCACGGCGCGGTGGCCGTGGCGGGGCCGGGGCACTGGACCCGACCAGCCCACCACTCGCTTCCAGCGGGGCTGCAGGAGCACCGCTGGCGAGTTGGCGGGTGACACGGCCGAAGCCATAGTTTCGGAAATGGGAGCAGTGTAAAAAAGTCACCAAGCGAAAATGCAGCCCCCCGATTCCAGTCACACACACCCCCTTTCGTCTAAGGCGGCTTTCACGGAGAAGCGGTTCCTCACACAGCGGTGGACTGCTCCATGGAGGCCGCCATCTTAACTATTCTCCTTCCCTTCTGCTCTTCGCCTTCTTCTTGCTCACCCGGTCTCCTCAAGAGCCTCCCGAAACTGTTGCGCGCATAGACCGGAGGAGCTGGAAGCCGCCGAGTCCCGCCGCCCTGACTACTTGCCCGGGAGCTCGCACTTACAAGCTCAAGCGGGAGGCCCTGGGAGCCGCCATCTTGAGCCGCCTCTCTCTCCTCCCTTCCTCAGTCGTAGCCCTCCCCCGCCGGAAATGGCGGAGCCCCGGCCCGGTTCCCACACCCCCCAAGTCTCCTGCACTGGCCGGCTTCCGGGGCGGGTGGAAAGGAGCCACAAGCGCCGCGGTTGTCCCAGCCCCGCCGGCGCTCAGACCACAATTGTGGGAGCCGCCATCTTGAGACCGTCCCGCTTCCCCGCCCAGCACTTAGTGCAGCTACCGCTCCCAAAACAGCTTCGACACTCTTAAGGAATAGAGGCGCGCCGGAGGCCAGTGGAACGAGTTCGAATTCTCGAGGGCTGCTCGGAGGCTCGCGCCGTACGGCTCGTGAAATCTCGAACCTCCCCCCTTAGTCCGCCTCTGCTGCTCAGGCTGCGCCTGCCGCCCTGGGAGCCGCCATCTTGAGACTAGCTCCCCCTTCCCCCCTATTCTCTTCCTCCTGGCTCAGTTCTTCCACTGCAAACCAAACGCAAGGCAGCGTCCAATCCTCACTTCCCTCCTTATGACTCCTTCCCACAGAAGCCGCTCCAAAGAAGCAGAGTTAGGCCCCGAAGTGGCAACTGTACGGCAGGAGGAGCGGTAACGGCAGGGCGCTCATGCCTCCTCCCTGGGAGCCGCCATCTTGTGTGAAGAAGTAACAACTAAACATGGCGGCGGCGGCGGTCGGGCGAGGGGGCGGGGTCGGGTGACGTCACTGTCTCCCCCCCCTCACCCTCGCAAGCTTCTCCCTGCCGAGGCCTCTTAAAGGAACACCAGGCTGCTTCGCGGCGAGAAACCGGGGCCACTGCGCGCTTGGCTGGGGGTCAGGCCGCGCTCGGGTCAGGCACAGGCGTACCGAGCCTCGTGGCCCCCTCATCTCCCGTCCACGCCTCCGCCCTGGGAGCCGCCATCTTGCCACTTCCCCTCGCCCGGCCGTCCGCGGGCGTCAATAACGACTTTCAGCACAAAACAAAGATGGCGGCTGCGGCATCTGGGGAATGCCCGGATGAGAATGCCTCAAACGAGCTTGACCCCGCCCCCCTTGGGAACTGCCCCCTCCCCGGGTCGCTGAAGGGACACACGCCAGAGGAATCGCCTTTAGCAGTGCGGACAGGACACAGGTTGCTGAGGGTGGCTGACGGGATACATTACAGTCAGGCCTCGGGCCGGGGAGCGGACGTTTTCCCGCTCCGCACACCCAG